TATATATACTAAAAATTCCTAAAATTGTATTCATAAATATTATCTATAATATTTACGAATACAAACAGTATTAATAAGCCTTAAATTGATATTCAATATAAGACGAATTGTATTCGGAAAGCTGATCCTTCAAGTAGTAAAGGTTTATAAAGCAATAAGTTTAGATTGACACGAGGCCCATCTTTCTTGAAGTTTCTGGCGCTCTTCTATATGGTGTTCCGACAAATTACGCATTACGTGACTTGTCTTCAGCTTTCTAGGATCTAAATTAGCTCCTAATGTTTGAACACCTTTAGCAAACTTCGAGAACGGCAATAGGATATCTTTGGCCGTGGACGCTACTGGACTGGTAACGTTGGCGATATTCTGTTTTATGGATTTTAAGGCAGATTCGCTTTGGGACGATGTAATATTCAACATCAAGTCCTGTTCGGAAGCTGATCTTTTTTTCTCGTCCAATCTATTGTCTGTTTGAAGAGTAGCACTCTTGACACCGGATAATAACGTTTTATCTTCAACATCGCCCGTCGAATGACTGATATTTTTTAAAAGTGTCAAAGTTGACGGTGGAATCATCCGTTTCTTTTCCTCGTGTATGCTGTCCTCTACGTCGTACACCGTTATTTCTGGCGTGGTTGCTGTAGTTTTCTGCGGAGAAGCGCTGAGAGTGCTGGTGCCAGAGCCATGTTGCGGTATTAAGTGCAATGCGTCAATGGCTATGTCGGGTTTCAAATCTGAATTATGTCTCATTGTAGATAATCCCGCGTTCACGCTGCTCTCGCAAACGTCACCATCCACAATGTTGGTGTTTTTCACACCCATAATAATACCGATCATTGGAGTGTATGCTTCCATTAAATGCTTGTCGTGGCTAAAGTTTGTTGGCTTTTTGACATGAATATGTATCGTTTCGATATTTTCATCGCTGCTACTGCTACTGTTGCTATTGCTGCTTTTTTCTTTCACATTGCCTGAGATATCTCTGTTACCGACCATAAAGACCGGCTTTGATAACTCTTCCGTCTTTCTATTACCTATGCTCTTTGCTAAATCAATTGGCTTCTTTGTGCTGAAACTCTGACTCAGTTTGTTCAATTTGCTAAATTGTTCCGACATGTTGCTTAAAGCTTTTGTACCTAAAAAATATTCATTATAAAAATTTTATTCGTCGGATAATATACACGAATAATCGAAATAATCTAAAAACAAACCTGCTGTCTTTAAAGCGAGTAATTGCGTCTCGGATACATTTCTCGTCAATTCTGGAAATGACGAAATGTCCAGTAATCCAGTAGAGCCTTTAACATTCACTACTTTACTCTTTCTCTTATCTAACGTGACATTCATGGCTATGGGAATCTTTGGTAAGCCTGCTATTTCCATAGCTACAGAAATAGCTTCACAAATTGCTTTTAAAGATTCTGTAAATTTAAAATATCGTTATAAAATTATTTAGAATTTGTGTTACAATGTAGATAAAGGAAACGTGTTCCTACCTATGCTTTCTTCTTCAGTTTTGATCACAACCGCCATGTTATTAAAAAACCTTAAATTTGTACTGCGGAACATGTGAAAGTAACCGTATTCGCCATTCATCTTATAATTGATTCTGATACAGTGATAATGCTTATTCTTGAAGAACGAAACTGTATTCTCAGGCTGACCGAATTCGATTAAGACGATATCATTTAGCGGGATTCTTTGATAATTTGTAACTTTATCGATTTGATCATCATAATCTGCTACGTAATAACTATCTAAAGTTAATATCAGAATAGTATCCATTTCCGTTTCCGTTGGGTCACCGGTACTAAAATAAAAATAAGAAATTTTTGATTGAAACCCAAATCATATATATACAAGTATAACAAAATATTATAGTGAATATTTAATACATACATGGGATCAGCATCGATGACACCCCAACTGCCTAGTATAATTTCGGGATCAGGTATCAGTAACTTTTTGCAGTCTTCGATTAGTAATTTCACATGAATCGCAGTTGCTGCGTTGTCTTCCTCGTCGGTACGCTCTAAGAATACTTCTTCGCTTACCAAATTTCCCAACATCATGTCAATTGTCGCTTGCCTGTAGACATCCTTGAAACGATTCAAGTAATATCTGCAAAGATATTTTGATTCTCGTTACATGACTGTGCTAAACATTAAAGAATGGTTTTCAGAAGCAAGAAAGTATAACAGCATCAAGAAAATATTTCATTAAAAGTATATATTTAATAGACCATATATTCTCTCTATATATGAAAATATATATTAAAGAAGAGAGGAGAGAAAGAGCAGCTTTTTATATTTAATTTATTGAGTGATAGTGCATTTATAAAGATGATTGACTATTTCATTATAAATCAAACTTTATATTCTTTCACAAAATAAAGGGATGGTATAGAGTCAAGGCTAAACATGCAAAAAAATTTTTGCAGCATAACAAAAACAACTTTTCATGCTGTCATTAACACAGAGCATATCTTTTTACATATGAATTAGCCTATAATAGAGTGAAATGTAATTAAATTAAGCTTTGAAGATACATCTCTGCCATATGTTTCCCAAAAGTGAAGTTACAAGCAAGCACAACGAACCTTGCTAAATTATAGAGGGCAGTGGCATAAAGAAAGTCGGGATGAGTAGCAAGTTGAAGTTGTATATTTGGTGGTTTCATAGGTATAAGTTCAAGACAGCAATTATCAAAGATATCTAAATAATGTGACCAATCGTTGTTCAGTTGATCAACGTCAATCGGGTTTCCTAGCAGCGTATCTATCGCTGCTTGACGTAAGTCATCCATAAAGTGTTGCTGATAATATCTATGGGAAAATGAAAGGACAATGTCAGGGTTCTGGTAGAACACAATGCGGTTTCAAATATCGAAGGCTTGGATATTATCATTTAAAGGAACATGATAACTGTGAGGTTTTGTTTGTGTCATGTGAAATGTTGGAAATAAAAGTTAAAATGAAAAATGAAGGAAAATTAAGCGGATACAGAATGATGAAAGATTGATGTATGTAGTTCTACCTGTTTGCAGAATTCATGCCGTCTTTCATCAAGCCAGTAAATTTTCTCTCCCCGGTACGCGTGTAATCTCCCTATAATAAACAGCATGAAATTGTATGTCAGAAATCATTTGTAGAATTAAATTGTGTTTATTCAATATATGTATAAAACTTGGCATACACAGTTTAAAAAGCACAGACCTTTAAAGCGTTTGTTCCTGCATACTGCTTACTAATAATATCCCCATTATTGGCCCAAAGTAATTGGAAAGTCTGTCTTATGTTTGTAGGCAAAGTTCCATCAGGTGGTATTAGTCCCAGTTTCGAAAATTGCATTTCCATAACAGCTTTTCCCAGAGCAGTTTGCACCACATTTGTTCTATCTAAGCAATCTATGCAATTCACACGAAATATGCCCTTTTGCATGCAAATTGTACCTTGTTTATCGCACCAGCAGTAACCCATATCTGCTAGCACTGTGGTCAATGCATTAACCAAAATAGATACATTTTCGAAATGCATTCCTCGACTGTGTTAGAGACAAAATTTTCGAGATACAACAGAATTCGTAATGGAAACAATAAGCATAAAGGTTTAGCGTTATAGATAATACTTAGGAATACTTACCAATATTCGTGGAAATCGAAGGTAGTGTATGTAATATCTGAATGATTATAGTTAAACACATGATTACTATAAGCTTCCCAAATTATCTTTTCTTTGCCAGACTGTTCAACCAGGTTAACGATGCAATTAGGTCCATATAATGCGAGTTCTTCACCAAAATGTTTTTCAAATGCTATTTGTGTTTCAGCCTCATCTATTATTATATTGGATTATTATATTATGTGCAAATGAATATTATATGCAAAAGATACATCTTTTCCTGCATATACCTTTATCAATTCGCGGTGGAGGCTTATATTTGTACCCAGGTTGCGACCAATATACTGGCACGCTACCTCGTACTTGTACAAAGGATACTTGATGATCGTGATACCAAACTAATTGTTCAGTCTCAACATAATTTGCACACTTCCCATCATCATCCACTCCACGTCTCTTATACCTGTGTAATGTAACATTTAGAAAGATTTTTTATTTTTATATACATATAATCTGTCTTTAATATTGAATAAGATAGAGTTTATATAATTTATGAGCATGCAATTGTTGAAATAATCTATGTAAACAAAAGTTACCTGGTCCCAGCACGGAATCTACTCCTCCTTGATATAATTGCTAAGTTAAATATCTCCTGCTGTGGCTGCTCATCAAAACCCACTTCAACTACACATTTTTCTATTTGAACGTATCCTTGAATGATTGGTAATATCCAACAGTTTGCTTTATCTCTCTGCAAAAAAAGATGATTTGGATAAGCAAACGACATGCTACACAAATTGCAAATGATCCTTGATAATTGTACAACCGGTTTTGGATAATATCTACTTGCTAATTATTAATAATTATTTACTTAATAATTATTGGGCAAATAAAAATAAGTTGGTTTTATGCAACAAATTTGATACATCACATACAATTAATATTACAATTAACAATTACTAAATAAAAAATATAGAATTACTATATTTATTTAAGCAAATATATATAATTTTTGCAATTTTATAATGTGGAATCAATTGCGAGAATAATATAATAAATATTTTATAGAAATTACTAACATCTAAATTAATAATGTCATGTAACATATGTTTATTCCAGAAGAATCTGTCATCCACCCGTTGCCACAATGGTTTATCCTGATTGCATTGCTGAGATTCTGCTATACATTGTCGTTGCAAACTGTTAGTAATATCACCAGTCTGACAAAAGAAGAAGGAATCAGTTTCGGTAAATATCTTATTTAATTCTTCCAATATTCTCTTTTCAAATCTTTCTTTGTCTTTCACTATGTTCCGTTTTGTTACTGTAGACTTCACCTATAAAAATATTGTATAAGTTTTATGTGTAAGATATCAAATGAATTACACAATTTCAATGACTTAGGTCCCTTACTTGAGACGTAGCTAATGCAGCAGCCTGCTGTGTGGTATTTTTTATAGTATTTGTAGCATTCTTGATTGTACCCCAGGTCTTTGCCAGGGCTGCCTTCTGTGGCACGTCAAACAACCCAATACCTCCTCTTTTCTTCAATCCATACTGATGTTTCTTACAAGGCAACAAGCCAATATCTGCATTATCTGTGCCAAGATGTAGAAATGCGATAGATTTGATTTTGTAAACAACATGATCATCGTGTAATTCTCCCACTGGTGTTACATCCTTTATAAGCATTAAGCGAGGTTCCAATACTGACGCCTGTTCAATTTTTCCCACTATGCCATAAAACATTCCCAGACATTCTAGATCCCTCGGCGTAGCCCATTCCCAATCTGCAAAATTCATCACATTTCCAATAATAATAATAATTGGTAAACTGTCAAATTAAATCCTAAACACATAAATACACATATGTATCATTTTTTTATCAATTATTAAGTATGAATTAGAGGAAATGTCATCTGTATGTATCTTTGCGTGGACGTAGTATACGCTTGGAGGAAACGAATGAAATTAATTCGCGTCCCGAAAATTCAAGCGATGTCTAGATCGATCTTTTGACGAATGACGCTCACTTATCTGTCAAATGCAATTGTACGCATTACTCACCTGATTTCGCAGCGAATTCGCCGGTATACTTGTCACACCAGAGGCTGTATTTCTCTTTCACAAAGATGAAATGGGTGTCAGTGCGGAACAACTCCATTCTTCTGCTTCTCTGCAGGTTTGACAGCTATCAGACAGCATGTAACACGTTTCTGCGTCAAGCAAAATATCCGCCTACCATTGAACGTTCGCCATATTGTTCGTGACGTTCGTTACTGACACTTTAGCTTTAGCCAAGTTTACTTCTCGATGTAGAAAGCGACAGCGACGAGCAATCGCTCGAGTATTTTTATTGTTCCTCAATGTGGGCACGACGACGACGATGTGAAGTAGCCAGTCGCTCGATATTTCGACAAGGCACTTTCACAATTCGTATGATTACAGAGCCGTTCTTGACCTGGTTGGTAATATATGAATAATTGAGGCGGGAGATTTCGTTTCTCCATTCCTCTTTTGTACGTTTATCAGCAAATACATTTTGTAACATGATGCTTTTAGATATACTAAAAAAGTGAAGGCTTTCTTTAAACGGATTTTATGTGTAGGAACTTTATTCTGATATTATTAGTAAGATAATACATATAGAAAATACATACTGTTTGTATCATATATATATGTAGATGTAAAAAAATGTATAAATATAATATTTTGTATATAGTACTAGAGAGATAACTATTCCAGATATCTTTTTTTATAACAATATTTTTTTAATTGCATTTGTACAGAAATACATTTACATATAAAAAAACTTGAGAAAAAAAGAGTTTATTAAGAACCAATTAGACTTATATTAATATAAGTCTTATATATATATAAATATATATATATATGTTTTGATCGCAAATTTATCTAGAAAATATGTTTATCATACAAGTTTGAGATATAAAAAAATTCTAGATAGACATCGAGATTAAAAATCGAATTTTCGAATAAATAAGCTTTATTACAATCTTCATGTATATTTTTCATGTATATTTTATACATCCTCTTCCGTAATATTCGAAATTTTTATGGAAATGGAAACAGTATTTTATTAAATAGTTTAAATGTTATAAAAATCTGGCATATAAAAATTTTTAAATCTTCTGAATATAAGTCTACTAAACGCTAGCATGTCTAAGATAGAAATTGCGATTTACAGCGCGAAACATATTAATGAATGGAATACGCCACATAATAGTATGTAAAGAATTAAACGTTTCGCGCCGCGTAAATCCCAAAATTTGCCAATATTTATATTTGCGAGACACACATGTACATGGAGAATATGCGAAATTTTTGCATACATGACACGCGGACTTAAACATGTTATATCATTGCATTCTTGTACTGAGCATTCGTGCGCTTTATTTAAATGGCTCTTATACATGTACAATAAATCGATAAATACATCACAAATATACAGAAACATGTGAAAATATGTGTATTTTCAAAGAGTTTAATATATCACGTATTATAAATTCTCTTGCAAAAAAAAGTCGTGCTCAACCAGAATGTATAGAACAGTCTTGTAGCCTGGCTGCTTAGTCGTAATTTTAAAATAGCTGACAAATGGAAATCCTTCCATGTGCTCCTTTCATTATGTACAGTCTTTAAACCACTTTGTATTCCTTTTTTGTATCAATCCCTATATCGTTCACTGGCTTTCATTGGGAAAGAAAAAGTAGAAAAATTAGTTTTATCGATATTTAGCTTTTCTCATCGCTGCTGGTTTGTTCATTCATTTGGTCGTTCTTCTTGGGTTTGTATTCTTCCCATTTTCTATGATTAAGAGTTTGAAAGTCATCTACCTCTGCTATTAATTCCAAATATCTTGATAGCTTTAGTAATTCAAAGTCTTTGACTCTGCTGGTGTGAGCATGTTTAAAAGGTTTTATTCTCAATCCTGACTGCGGATTCATTATAAAATTTCGTCTAATATCATCAAACATTATTGTATTTCTCGCAGAGAACTGTTTGTACTTCCCCCAGATAATGCCCAGTGGTTTTACCCCGACGACGCCATATTTCGGTGTGTGAACAGTGATCATAGCAAGGACATCTAGATGAAAAGCTATTTTATAGTTTGGATGATTTGAAACTCCCAACAGTTTCATCTTTTCGTTAATCCACCTCATACTAGTCGCCGACCAGATGACTATGTCGTAATTTTTATAAGCACGCGTCAAGAATTCATGGAGATACGGACGCATTAATTGCGCTCCACTTTCTGCCACTGATCTATGGTCAAACAAAGTATAGTCTATGTCAAGAACAAGGAGCTTCTTACCTTCCCTCAGAGGATTCAGCTCTGTAATCACATAGCGATCAATACGTATTTGGATTTTACGTAGATTTATTTCAGCCTTTTCGATCTCTACTTCCTCTTCCTCTATATCTAAATCATTAATCACTTCAGGTACATTCTCTGGTGCTTGACTGGCCTCTGCAATATCTTCTTCACGCGAGCCCATCAACATCAGTTTGAAACCAGGTTTCAAATTTAATTTGCCAATTATATCCTCATCTTGTACTGCTTTGCCTAAAGAAAAAAAGAGTTTCTACAGGCATTTTTGAAAACTGTGTATTTAAATTATACTGTATCAGATTATGAATTTTCACCAATCTTTCTAATAATTAACAATAACAACGATCAATACAAAAAAAATTACTTCAAGAGAAATAGAATGTTATAAATTTCAAATATCGTATAATAAAGGGAAAAAACTTTTCCGAAATTATACATAAATAATTGTTGTGTCAAGATATTTTAAATGATAATGATACAAAACGTAACTAAAATTTAATGATTAATAGCAAGATATTTGACTACATTTAAACATGGCAAACAAATTTGGAATTAAATTATGTTATTGAAATTGTGCGACAACGATCATTTATCAGACGAAAAACCAGAAAACAGTTCTCAAAACATAACCTTTAAATTTGAGATTTAACAGCTTTTGACGTTCGGGACGAACACCCGTTTCTCTATGTATACGCTCTTTCAGAGTAAGAACAGTATCCTCTTCTTGAATATCGAGAATATCGTATTCTTTTCCGCTCCATTTCACCACAATTCTTAATTCGCCCTCCATCCTCGCTTTTCTAACCGTATAAATGAAACGGATGCATCGCAAACCTAGAAAAGAATCTGCATATATATATATATACACTTGCAACTGCATTATCGATAATGTCATATTTATCTAAAAAGTCTTTTGTTCGATTACAAATAAAGAGACTCGCAGTAAAATTAAATATTTCAAAAAATAGTAATATATTATATCACTTTGCCTTAAAATCATATCAACAAAATATCATATGAAAAATTTACCGCATATCTTTTCTACGGATATTGCAGTTAGAATAAGAGAAATGTTAAAGAAACACACATTTACAAACAGTATAGGCGGTGTTTTAATAAAATAAATATTTCTTTTTAGAAAGCAAAACAAACTTTTTTGTTATTCTCAAAATTAGGAATAAAATATATTGTTTATTTTTTTCTATTCATAAAATGAAATAAAAAACTATATATAATCGCATAATATATTTTGTTAGTGAAAGCGATTTTTTAATCAGTCGTGATAATTATTTAAGTTTTATTCAATGCTTTTAGACGGAAAGTTTTTGGATTAAGAAGAGAAGGAAAATGTAGCTGTTGCAGAACGTCAACAAAATAATTTTTACTTGTTTTATATATCATTTTTCCAATAAAAAATTATTCCAATATATATAACAGATTTTTTATTAAGCAAACGATCCAAAGCTTTTATAACAGCAAATGGAGTATAATATTCATCGTAATATTTGTTATTGTATGATTAGCGATTTAAACTGATACCTATGAATTGATATCTAACGTTTTCCTTAAAATTTTCAAAATTGGACTTACATATGTCAGAATAAAAATGTATATACTTAATATATGTATATAATATTAATAAAAATAATTTTTTTAAGATATATAAATATATATATTTTGATACACTTTGGCATATATATACTTTTGTTAATATTATTATAATTGAAATTTTGCATAATTATTCTGATCGGTTTTTATATTATTTATTTTATCAATTATTTATTTACAGATACAGGCTCTAATCTTAATGGCGAAAATTCGACGAAATTGGCATTGGTGCGTGAGTATACTGAATATTTTAATATTTTAAAAATCTATGTTGCAAATTAGCTACAACAATCTCTTTCAGCGTTAAAATGTTACTAAAAGATATTCGAAGAGACATTTCAATTTATGCAAAAGTATGTTCAAATTTATTTAAAAGTGAAAAACAAAAAGATGTTAAACATGTTTTAACTAATCCTTTCATTTTATATTTGTTTTATTCAATATTTTTTATTCAGTTCTTGATTTGTATATAGCGAGATTTATAAGATTGCATAGATAGATGAAAAAATAATTTTCCAACTTAGAAATGTATAGAATTATATATAAGTATAATTCTTATTTGTGAAGATTGCTTTTTAGATCAATTGGGGTATAAGTCTAAAATTTCTTATGCTTTTTACACAACATGTTTATTTATCGCATCGCCTAATTTATTTAATGGCCGTCTAATTGATTTGTTCGGATTTTTTATCTGTTGATAACGCTAAATTGGAAGTGAGGTTTTCCTTCCATAATGTAAAAGAAGGTTCTGGTATATCTTTGCAAGATACCATAGGGTTATCAGGTCCAACAGAATGCATTAATTCCATCTGAGCATGCGTAATTCCGTCGGAACAATCGCATATTATTTTGGCCAATGAACTCTTGCGTAGCTCCACGAGTTGTTCTGAAATTTTTGCAAATATGTACACATAATTCAATTCTTGTTGCATTTCGATTTAACTAAACACATTTTGACATAATACATTTCTATAAATATCGAATATTTATAAGAAATATTTGTTATTCTAAAAACTTATATATTATTTAATATTCGATATTTTTAACGCATATTTCTTTCCTAAATAATTAAAATTATGCTAATTGAACATCGTATTATAGTAGAAACAAATCTTATCAACGTCAACGTAATTTACCTTCTGTAAAGGGATATGGTTGCTCGGCATACTCATACCAGAAACGATCTCCTTTCTGCAAACGTGCGAATTGATCAATGATCAAACACGTAAACGTAGGCCCGACCAAGCTGTCTAACTCCGGAATTTCCGACAATGCGCCGGTATATAGATCTATATCGTCGATCGACTCGTAAAGTATCGATATTTGTTCCAAATCCTGGTGATTCAAATATCCTTCGAGATCGTCAAACGTTTCCACTTTTCCTAATCCGCAATATTCTCGCCACACAGTGTATCCCGGTAATCCGTGATCCCGTCCACGTTGAATGTTCAACGACACCAGATCAAGACCGCAAGGTATCGTGAAATTGGCTACGGGATCTTCGAAGAGATTACTTGTCAGCTGCGAAGTGACATGCGTAGAGTATTTTTGAATGACGTTGGTCATGGCCGAGCTGACTGAACACTTGATGCCGTCTTCGGCGTAGAGGCTGTACGGATTGAAAAGCATCCTGTGTAGTTCCACGTACGATGACGTACCCTTCTCTGCGTCTGTCATTCTCATCAATCCTGGTAGTAAAGTGTGTGCAAAACGAAAAGCCGCGCTCGCAAAGTGATTGGCTATCGTCGGGTCGTTCTCCAGGTCATTTGGATCATACGTCTGTTTTCTATAGCCTGAACCAAGAGGGTTCAAGCCTTGTTTCTTCATTCTTTCATTGCCTACGATGATGGGTAAAAACTCGCGATAGGTGATGTGTTGCAGTTGAGCGCCAACGATGCGTCGCGTTTCCTGAAAGAGTACTTCGTCACTCCAAGCGGGATTAACTTTGGACAATTCATCCGCGATCCTGTTGTGCTGCCGCGCCCAGAGAAGATGCATTGTGGTTAAGTGTAGATTCTCGTTTGCTCTGGCGTCACCCGCAGCGAAGCAATAACGGCCACGACGTCGCTCGGCTTCTCGGTTACAGCCGTCGTTAGGATTCGTGCTTGGCGGTAATAGGGTTCTGTTATCGGGGGTGAGCTGCATCTTTAAACGACCGCCGATGAACTCGCGTAGATTACGAGTAGTCTCATTGTTGGAACCATAAATGGCTGAACCGTCGATGAAGGCGCTGACCTAGATGCAATATTATTATTTGTTAAACCTTTCTATAGTAGTCTTATCATTGGTGATTTGAATTATTTTTAAATTTATGTCGGATAAGAAAACGATAAGTTTCTTAAATTTTATATATCTAAAAAGATTTATCTAGAAAATATTCCGTAATTTTTTATTCTTTTTAAAATTGCAAGGAGAAAGAATGCGATCTAAATTACTTGATTAAGCTGTTCCCTGGGACCGAGTTCGCATCGCGGAGCTGGTGCCGATCTTACGAAATCCAAGCAGGTTCTGTTATTCAGATCGTGCACAGGATCGCCGGTTCCGACTCGAATGGGGAAGCATTCGGGATGTTGTTCTTTCGAGACTGAACAGCACGCTATCGAACTTGCATTAATACCCTGACTGAGCGCGGTGGCTGTAACGTCGTGATCCAGAAACTGACCGAATACAGCCAGCATCACCGTGAAGGACGGATTGCTGCTGGCTGAAGGTTTGTGTATTTTCAGACTGACTTCTCTGGCAGAAGGCAACTCCTTTCCTGACCGCGCCTTCCGAGGGGAATCGATCCCGTCAGCGTAATCTGGTGGCAAAACTCTCCTAAAAGGTGTCATGCTAGAACCCCATCCTCTCGGTCGATTGCAGCTACCGTCAACAGTTCTGTATTTGCCGATTTTGCACGAACGATCGAAATATTGTTTGCATATGCTCTTCGGCACCCAACCGCTGTCGAAGAAAATACCGATCGCCGAAGATTCATCTTGGGTGGATCTTGAACAGAAAAATATTTATAAAACTTCTTTTATATTAATAGTATAAAACATTATAAAAACTAACTTATTTTTAATAATTTTAATCGCTAATATAAATAATTACTTTATATAATGTGAAAAAATTAAGATTTTAATTTATATAACTATACAGGCTATAATAGGCAAAATATAATATATAACACAGAGCTACTTTATTTTGTACATTTTCTTTAAAGAAAAAAAATTAGAAGGTAATGTAACATTTTATGACATTTATAGGACGAGACAGTCTACCGCTCACCTCATATTCTCAATCGTTCTTGTCGCTGCAATTTCACCTATCGCTGCTAAAGCAAGAGCACTAACATTAGGATGCGTGCTCACCGCATAGCGATGTCTAGATTCTGGAGACGGGGATGGCAACGGTGACTTTGCGGCAATCGTATCCGCGAACAAACGATCCTTCATCGCTCGCTCACCGGCTCGTAGTCCTTGCATATATTCATGTTGACTGAGACTCTTCGTCAAGGTATCGACGTTCGCGTTTCGTACCAGAATGTAGTTGGGTTCGGCTATGGCACTAACGGTGCTACTGAAGGATGCGTGCAAGGCGGATCCAGGTGCGAATCCTAACGATCCTTTCAGGATACTACCTAAATTTCTGGAGGATGTTACGTTGTCGATCGCGGGATAGGAATTAGTGTGGCTGATGGAATAGCTGATGGATACCACCAGAGCCATGGTGAAGACCACTCTGCAAGATCGCAAACAAGTCGGATTATAAAATATAATCACTTAACAGCTGACATGGCTTAACAAATTTAAAAATCCTATAGTGTTGAATCTTGATTTCTTGTTATCTATTTTTTATTTATTTTTAGTTTTTACGACTTTCTGCTTTTTTCTTGTAGCGAATTTGACATTAAAATCCTATGCAGTCTTGTATAAATAAAATATGTATAATGCTCTAAAATAATATAAAAATGTAAAATAAAATTTTATTCAATTTTTTAAAATTTTATATAAAGAATAGATACAGCCTTACATTAGGATACCGCAAATACAGCATTGGAACTGTCGTATTCGCGTTCTTCGAGTCCTTAAGAGGCTGGCGAATTCGACGTAGTCGGGTGAATCCATATGCCTTCTTAAAGGCGTCCTTTCTGTAATACCGCGCATTTTCGTTGCACAGAAATGCAAATGCAGAAGATGTTTAGACAATACACAGATATTGATTTCTGCTTCTAGTGATTGATAGGCGAGGCTCTTCAAAGATCCTTGTCATCTGACAATTTGATCTTCCGTATATAAATCACTTTATTAGTTAACACAAGTCTCTCGTACAAATAATTACAACACTACACTTTAATTAAATACAAATTTTGTCTGGAGCAATTTTTTTATTGAAAAAATGTCACAGTTAGAAAACTGATAAATTTGAGAGCAATAAATGTAATTAATGAAATTTTAATGAATCATCGTTACTTGCAAAATTTTTAAGACGCGCACTTACGTATGGTACTTATAGAATTCTTTCTCGTCGATACGACGATATATACAAAGCGTGTGCAACTTCTTTATCCGCGTGTAAAAAAAAGGATTTAAAATAAAAGGCTCAGCCCTTAGAGATTGTTCGCACGTTCGCATGGACAACCAGACTGGTTATATAAAGCGGTCGAATCGAGAATCGACAGTCTGGAATGAAACATGAGTAGCCTTGCCGCATTCTTATTTTGCGGTGCGACAACTCTGTCAACAAGCTGTAATTCTGTGTGACTTATGCAAGCGATTACACATCATATACTTGAAATTGATAAAAATTATATACATTACTCTGCATGTATAAACAATAAAATACAATTTAAACTATAGAATAATCGTATAATTGATTTTATAACAATTTGTTTGTTATATGCAATCTAATGAGCGGCATTACTTTTCATTACGCAGCTTTCAGAAGTAATAAAGTTAATTAAAATGTCTATGTGCTTTTTATATGTATGTATATATATAATATAACAGACACTCTGAGGTTCTCTATCAAAAAATTATAAGATTAATTATTATAACACGCCGTCTAGCGTTGACGATGAACGGCCAGTATTTGACTGCCAAGAACGGCTGTCGTGCACAGTTATTGCGTTGATTTTCTCGCCACATCCCGCACCTAGGTAATATAATACATGTCTCGTGTCGCAGAAAAGGCTTCCGTCCTGTCGGGCTTCTCGAGAATATAAGTTATATTGTCAACTGATAAATTTTCTGTCAAAAACCAAATGCGTAGAAGAGAAATATTCCAATATTCCAAATATTTCACGGAGTCAAAACAACACGCTAATGAAAAATATTTTTAATAAAGCAAATTCTTGTGCATTCAAGTAATTTAAAAATAATTTTGAGAAAAATATGTAACAGTTAGAGCATCGACATTTATAGTTTGTTCTTTTTATTCCGTACAGCAAAAATTGTATCGCTTAGGAGCACGCAATTCAAGCCATTGTTCTTGATTCGGAACGTACATTTCGGCTGGCATACATTCTAGATCTTGAGATTCAGGCGACTCGTGCTCATTTGTTCTCCGAGCTGAAAAGTAAAAGTAGTCAAAAAATTTAACATACAATTATCTTTGAAAAAATGACAAATTTAAATTATGATCATATTAATCAAAGAATGTTTTAAATAATCACGAATCTCCTAAATGATGTAAAAGAAATACTCGAAATAAACTTTAACATTTGAATATAACGCAATATATATTCGAAATAGAATCTCTCTCTCTCTCTCTTTTACGTTGAAAATAAAAATAAAAATACGTCTAAAAAAGTAGATATTCTAAATAAGTTTTATATATAATCAATCACCTAATCGTTTGCGCATAGCGATAGATTCGCCCGGGTGTCTCAGGAGAAGTCGCCCAACGCCCTCGCAACGGCGCAAGACTTCGTTCTTCAACAAGTGATTTCTGACATTTTGCGAAATGATCGAACATTCTGTAACCCATGTTGATACGTGCGCGAAATCCATCAACAACTGATACGCCCCATATTCACTAGAAATTTATTTTCATACATTAGTAAAATGTACAACACGAAGAAATATATATGTATAAATTAAAAACTTGTATATTATATTATATTAATCTAAGTGTGGAGAACACGTGCGGATTTTATTTCTACATATTGTTTTTATATTGCTTCACAAATAATTTTAATCGAGACGTAAAGTAAATTTACCTAAACTTGATGCGATGCAGATAGATATAATCGAGCCACGCCTCGCACATTATTCGTAGAATCATGTTTGATGTTTCGTGATCCTCAATTACTTCCAGCACTGGTAGCAATACCTTTTCTGCAAAATATATAACTTTGATATATATGTATATATGATTAACGCATTTCTAAAGCTTGGCAATAATAAGACCCATAACTCATGTCATATCAACATTTTTAATATATAAAAAAATATAAAATAATAAAAAATATTTCACACGCTATATGTATAATATGAAATAAGAAAATATGTACCAAAGTAAGCCTCCACGTAAAGACTGGCAGTTACCGGAGGTATGCTGCTGCTCCTTCTCCAATAATTCGATCGTGGAAAGCACATGTGCAAATTCGCGAGGCTGATTACGCGACAAATCTTGGCAAGCGTGTCGATGCACTTAACGGAGCAAATCTGCAAAAATGAAGAAATCTAAAATCGTCTGCAGTTTTCTAAATAGCAAATTTGAGCTAAAAATTGTATCTCTCGCAGAGGAATTATTTCTCTCTCGAAGAGACTTTTAATAAATTCGATTTATTTTAGAATATAATATCAATCATTTTATACTTTATAATATAAGTATATATATCTGAAAATTTTAAGATATATGAGTATAATATAGGGCAGGATAATATCACGAAGTGAAAGTTGTTAGATAAGTAAAAATGAGAGTTGTTAGATAAAAAAATATTTTCTATTTCTTTGTATTAGAAAACGAAATATATACCTGAAGCAATTCGATATTCGCCTTGACTTCGGAAACGATCTTCGCCCGCATCTTCGTACACACATATACTTGAACGCTAATAGAATCCGAGGACAATGCAGTCGTGTGATCGGCGAGCTAAAATTAGTCATCGAAAAGATAAATATGATAATGTATTTTTCATACAATTTATTAAAAAAAAAAAAAAAAACAAAACAATAAAGAGAAGAATACCTTGAGATAAGATAACTCTTCAAGGCAGTTCACTATGTCACCCTTAACCAGCAAAAAGAATACATCAAGGTCCCAGGTGTGGGCTATAATTTTGGCCTCCTGAATAGCCCACAACCTCGCCGTGTGCACCGAATGGTCCATCCTATGCAGCACAACGATCTGCTCTGACAACGGTAACTCTATCAAGGGCGCTCCTATCACCCACTCGCCACCGATCTCGCATTCGTTGCTGAGGGTAACTAACAAATGGAACACTTCGATGAACATTTGACCTGTGTCGGTTCCCTACAAGAATGCCAATTATTTATCGTTATTTTTTTAATCTAATGTACAGAAAAAAGAATCATTCTTTTCCTTTTTGCTATTTATATTATAAATAATTTAAGCCATTTGTTAGTATGTTGTAACGAATAAATAATATTTCCTTGAAATTCAATTTAAAAGATCTCAAATAAGATATCAACCTCCGTGGACGATGGTTTTGAACGGCATTTGAAAGCCGAGGTATAAGCTAATCTAAACATTTGATCCCAGGCAGTGATAGTTGCGTGGTACCCAAGCGCATCGCATAAAGTCTGCAACGCTGATCTAACTGTAGGTGGAACTAAAATTTTGAAGTAAATATATAATATATAATACAGTTTTCAAATATAAGAAAACATTTTCTTTTTTTTTACTTTCGTTTCCTTGAATGAATTGTCGCAACCAATCCTTGAGATGCTGAGCACCGTGACTGTGATGAGTCGCAAGGGCTTCTCGGGACCACCACAGTATCACATGATCCAAAATACTAGACAATGCACCCCATGCAACTTCCTGATAGTAGTTCTTTACTTTCTTTATCGCGCTGCCTCTTAATCTTGTTTCATCTAATAAATAATATATATATGTATATAAAATGTATATAAAAACTGAAAAATGGAATTTTTCTTTGAATTGATTAAAACTGTACTTTTGCAGATTTTTAAAGCATCCGTGCCAAGCAGTCGCGGTGAGATCTCTTGCACAACATTTAAAAGTCTAAGGACCTGCTCATTCTGCGTATTTACAATTGTCTGCACGCTTTCGATATTGGATGCCTCTACTTCGGATGTCGATGTCGCACTTGCGATCGGTGGCGTTAAATGCCTCGTAAGAGCACTAATAGTTTGAGAAATGTATAATGAAAATATATCTGATATGATTATAGATTACACAATTATACACTGCTTATAAATATTATTTATCTATCTAATAATAATTAGATATGTATAGAGATCTGATAAGTAATATTAGCGATGTATTTAATTATGACTGCGCGCAAACCGGTAAATCTCGATGCTGGAGTTTTCTGAAACGTCTACATCGTTCGTCGTAGATGTTGGCTTCATTTTTTCACGAGGTTCGTAATTTGCCAAAAGGCAATCGATAAGTTCGTGACAAGATTCCTCCGCTCTGTTTTTCGCTAATATCTAAAATTATTAATGTTAGAAAAATTTTCCTTTATCGATATCCCGTTTTATATTGTTTCCATGCTGTTTTAAAAAAATATATTAAATTTAATAGTCTATGAAAAGAAAATATAATTATTGAATATTTTGCATGTTAATAAAATTAGGATAAAAAATAAAACGCGTTAAACTACTCGCTTGCAATATTCTGGTCACGGAGATTTTCTTCAACGGCTCCAACATGGACGGGCAATCGTTGTAAAAGACATTGACAGACGAGTCTGATTCGTTTCGATCCATATCGAGAATGCTGTTGTAAGCATTTACTAATCTGCAATTTGCTAATTATGTCATTATCTGGCAATATCGCAGAATTTCTTAGTATCGCTAAATCTATCTTACAAATAAAAACTCCGCGAAAAAATAATAGGAAATTAATTCTGATATTAAAGTGCAAAGTAATAAAATTAAAGTAATCGAACTAAAAAGAGTATGATATAATTGGTATAATAGAAAAATTATTTTTGAAGTTTTTACCTAAACACTATTCTTATATTCTCTTCACTTTTACAATCGACTATGCCAGTAATTAAATCTTGGGTAAATTTCGCGACCACATTGAGCTTGCGCCTTAATATTATAGACAGATGATTCATTTTATATTTATATATCAGATGACTGCTTAACTCTCCCGGCTTACATGTTAATTTATAATTCTTTATTAATTCCTCCAAGTTTTCTATCATTTCTTCGGATACCTGTAAAGCGCACCAAGCAATTGATTATAAGCGTTTTGATAGATATTCCATTTTAAAATATTTATTGATAATAATAAATAATCTCTCTGCTATAAAGATTTTTTAATTAGGACCTCCAGATCGCAAACCCGAGTCTCTGTCAAGTCCTCGATGATTAAAGCTATGCATCCTGCGAGTTTTCCCATTCTCTCGTCTAGAAGAGAAGCGTTCACTAGCCATTGGTCGAGGAGGCCATCATAAAGCGGCAGCCACTTTGCGATGTTTGCTCTGTAATTAGTATCCATGCGTCGCTGATTGCACCGGGATATCTTTAATGATATTTTTTCTTCTCAGTCGACACTTATTCAAAGATTTCCTGTTATAATTTTTAGGATTATGTTCAGATAATCCCATTAATTAATCCCATTTCGTGCGCGAGACTGTGATTTTAATATTTATTTAAGTGAATTTTCCACATCTCTTGTTTCGCAAATCTTTTTTTTTTATCTGATTGAGAGATCTTGATCGATGAATTGGTTACACATCACTTTTACGAAATCACGCTGGGCAGTGAAAATTAATGCTATGTAAATTGATCGTGTAAAAAAAAGCTATAATTGGTATAAAATTGGTCGTAAGAAAATGGTTTCTAGAATAAGCTGTACAATTGTATATGTAATTATATAGAAAGGGAGGGAGAGGAATTATATATTGTGCCGTGCGATCATTACTTCGAAAAAATATTTCTCAACTTTTGTCACATTGTTTCTTCGACGACATCTTGTTCTATTTTGGAGGTAATATTAACTACTGTCACTTTTTAGTTGCGGATAGCAAGTATTGTACCATGCGTTCTTAGTTGCCACGGATACGTCTCTATGACGCATGGCAATCAAAATATATATGCACGCAGTATGCTTTAAAAGAGAAATGAGCGGTTTCTTCAATTATTCAGATATCCAAATTTGTCAAAAGCAGATTTCGTGTAAACAAAATTTTATTTTTGCCATTCTATATTTAGGGACAATGTTTGCTAAATTTAACTCGAGTAATTTTCAATTGGAAATATTGTGAAGTGCAAAATAAAACGGCGTTAAGATACCGCGCAAAGCTCTGCATAATATTACATAACAATATACTTAACTTGGAAATAGCTATACAATAATTTGGATACTATATTTTGTTATCGAATATTTGAATATTTTATTATTGAATATTTGAAAAACATTCTAAACTTATTTAAATTATTCTAAAATTTTCCATTCGATATACAACTTCACACTCTATAGAAAAAATATTAAATTTTGATTCCTCTGAAACTCAATCATAATGGTTACCAGGGCAATAAAAATATAAATTGTCATAGTGTTTTTTTCTAGGGCAGCTCATGGCCGGCTTCCAAATTTGTCGTGTTTAAATTGAAGATTTAATTAAAATTTTGATTTGACGTTTCATCCAAATTTTTACCGTGTAACATCGAGAGAAATTAATTTGGAAACATATCAAAATGGTATGAGAAGATAAAATTACGCTCTCTGGATAATTCTAAACCGTGAAAAGTAGAGATGTATCTCGTGCCATACATTATCAAACTTTTATAGTCGATAAAAATACATTTTTTCTCCGTTTAGCGCGAATGTATATCGATGCACGTGGGCCAAGCGGGCGTTCAGATGGGCAATTCTTGCTGGGAGCTATATTGTTTAGAACACGGAATCCAGCCGGATGGAACTATGCCATCCGACAAAGTCTCCGGTACGAATGATTGCTTCAACACCTTCTTCAACGAGACGAGTTCCGGCAAGATGGTACCGCGCGCTGTGATGGTCGATCTCGAGCCAACTGTTGTCGGTCAGTGTTAGATAAAATTATAAATATATTAGAATAAAAACGTCACAGCTTTCTCTTTCTCTCTTTATCAATATATAACAATATATTTCACATATGAATTTTTACATGTTGAAAATTGTTATGTTTCTAGATGAAATTCGAATGGGAACATACAAACAGTTGTACCATCCGGAACAATTAATTACTGGTAAGGAGGATGCCGCGAATAATTACGCTCGTGGTCACTATTCCATCGGGAGCGAGGTGATCGAGTCGGTGATGGACAGAGTACGCAGGTTGACCGATCAGTGTACCGGTCTGCAAGGCTTCTTCGTTTTCCACTCGTTCGGAGGCGGCACGGGATCGGGTTTCACATCCTTGCTTATGGAAAGGCTGTCCGACGACTACGGCAAGAAGAGCAAGTTGGAATTTGTCATATATCCGGCACCGCAAGTGAGTTCAAAAAAGTTAATTTATCTATTTTTGTAAAAAAGAATCTCTTTAATTTTATAATCTTCCTCTCTCATCTAAAACATAAATTAAAATTATTAAAATTGATTCTAAAAAGACTATTATTTTTTTCTTTCTAATTTCTGAATATTTCTCTTATAAGAGAATTGAAATTAATAGGGATGAGAATCGCGCGAAAAGTAATTTAAAGCCAAACAATTTAGAATGCAATTTAGAATCAAAAATATATAACTTTACAAAACAAAATTTACTATATATATTTGAGAAGATTGTACAATATAATTTTTCAAAAAATATTGTCACATCTTTTCAGGTATCTACAGCCGTGGTGGAGCCTTATAATGCGGTATTAACGACGCATACGACAATTGGTCATTCCGATTGCGCCTTCATGGTGGACAATGAGGCAATCTACGACATTTGCCGGCGTAAACTCGGCATCGAGCGACCCTTGTACGCGAACCTGAACCGGCTGATTAGTCAGGTTGTGTCATCCATCACCGCATCCTTGAGATTTGACGGCGCCCTGAATGTCGACTTGACCGAGTTCCAGACGAATTTGGTGCCTTATCCCCGCATACACTTTCCTTTGGCGACCTATGCCCCGGTGGTGTCGGCGGAAAAGGCGTATCACGAGGGTATGTCAGTTGCGGAGATCACTTCAGAGTGTTTCGAGGCCAATAATCAGATGGTCAAATGCGATCCGCGCGAGGGCAAATACATGGCCTGCTGCCTCCTGTACCGTGGTGATGTCGTGCCTAAGGACGTCAACGCGGCGATCGCCGCCATGAAGGGCAAGAGTTGCATCCGGTTTGTCGACTGGTGCCCCACGGGTTTCAAAGTTGGAATCAATTATCAGCCGCCCACGGCCGTGCCAGGCGGTGATCTCGCGAAGGTATCGCTGCCAATTGTAAACATTTTCGAAGAAGGAGGCTTTAATTTAAAATATTAATTTACACACATCATTTTTTAAATAAAAAAAATATATATTAAATTTTTATGTATATTTATATAGTTTCATAAAAATCTAGACTATATTTAAAGTTGTAATTATAGAGAATTTTGTATTTATAATTCACAAACTTCTAATAATAATAGTTATTTCCGTAATATATTGAAATTATACACGCTCATAGGTTCAGCGAGCTGTCTCCATGTTGTCCAATACAACCGCTATAGAAGAAGCATGGGCCAAGCTTAATCACAAATTCGATTTAATGTACAATAAGCGGGCGTTTGTTCACTGGTACGTAGGAGAAGGCATGGAGGAACTCGAATTCGCAGAAGCGCGCGAAGATCTCGCAGCACTCGAAAGAGATTACGAGGAAGTCGCCCTCGAATCGCCATCCACGCCTGACACACCATTGGAGTATTAATGCGTGCATTAATCTAATTTGGAGAATCTTTCAATAAGCCAGCATGTGTATTTTTTCGCTGCTCGACGACTAAGCAAAAATTATTACATAGAAAAATGTCACATTACACTATGCGTTAAATTTTTTGTGCGAAGAGAAAGATTTCGTTTATTTTCGTATATATATAATTGTCACCGCGCCTACTTTTATTTTTATAGACGGGTATTTTTTGTAAAAGTTCTTTGTAGCATACAAAAAAAAAATTATATATATAGCTGCACTCTACAAGTCTATGTTTCATCTGCTGTGGAAAAAGTACATATATAAAACAAACATGTGAACACAATCATGTTTTGTACCGAAAAATTCTTTTACTGAATCAAAATAATATATATCTGTGTAACATATACAACTTTCATTCTTTTATTAACACTTCTTTTTTGGTACTCACATATTTATAAAAGTATGTCAACGAAATTTTTTTCTTTATAGCTATTTACATCAAATTCATTGCACTTGGAGCAATAATAATATACAGGAGATTATGCTGAAATTTATCGCACAAATGCAGTACATCACATAACGATGCTATTATTAAATTGCTTATTAATTATCCAAGGATGACGACAATGCTAAGGCTAGGTATAAAATAATTTCATAATCATATTATAATAACGAAAATATTTAATGAAGTAAATACTAAGTAATTTTATTACTACCGATAGTCGCTGTCACGTTGGTAATAAAGTAAATAGAGTACGCGAGTATACTCATAGAACTTAGCTCGTAAAATTTAAATACAGGGTCCAATATTACCTCTAATTAAGCTGCTCTAAAGTTATAATTATCATATTATATGATAACTTTAGAGTACTCACTAAACATTGTCGTCAGTTTTAATCAACTGCATCTATTGTAATAATAAATGATTACTACACTTTACACTACACAAATTTGCATTCTTTAAATCAAATATAATATTTTTTACACATTTGCCATAAAGCTTCGAATATAACCAGCTATAAAGTAAAATAATGAGCAATATCTTATTAAATATTTTAATAAAGTTAGTCTTTTTATAATATTTTACACGATTCGCGCGATATAGGACAGGATGTTATTATCGCCGAAAATATAACAAACTTAACAGAAAGTCATATGCAAATCCATAATGTATGGACAATTCCTGTGAGATTAATAGCTCTCTCAGAAAATCGATAATAGAACTATAATTATGTGTACGAACCGTAATTTTTTCTATTATACAAGGAGCGTTGGTATCGGTTTTTTTCCAGGCCATGCCTCTTTGGCGTACTTCTTCTTCTTTGGCTCCATCGTCCGCGGCTCCGTTGTACTCGGTAGATGCTCCGGTACATGCGGCACTTCTGTCTGTACTTGATTCGGAGTCATTTCCACCTCGGGCGCCGGATTGGGTAATGCGATACCGAGTCGCGACGTTAGAGACGTGAGAGCCGTGGAGAACGGATTAATGGACATCGAGGACGGCGTAAATTGTTCGGGAGGTAGATCGTGATAGAGTTGAGGAGTAGTGGACGTAGGTTGCATATGCTTCAGAGGATTGTGATCTTCAAACAATGATATGAGACCCCCTTCCATACGCATTCTCTGCAGCAAAAAAAGCATACGTTTTTCGTAAAGATTATAAATCCATTTTATAATTAGATTATATCGTATGAGATCACGCATACTTTGCTAGGAACAACTGTCGTTTGTATAAGATTACGAAACCTCCCGACTGACGGATCGACATCTTCAGGATTAATCACCTCTTCATCGTCGTTGAAGGTGATTCCCTTTTTCTTCCGCTTGCGCGTTGATTTGTGCATCTCATCGTCCGTTATGCCTAGCATAGAGATCCGTCGATTGTGAGCTGTATTAAATTCTGTCAAATTCTAAAAAAAAAGAGAATTATAAAGTTGGATCATATATATTAGTAAAAGAGTTTGAAAAATTTACTATATATATGCCAAACTTTTGACACATACATCAAGTTCTGTTTCAGTTTCTGGTAGACCCAACAAACCACCGGCATCAATATCCTCGGATAATTTCTCTAGTTCTTCGATGATAGGTCTGGCACCAGTCTGAGGTCTTACTGTCAATAGGTAACTGAGTCGGTTTGTGGGCTTCTAAACGTAAGTTTCCAATAAAGGTACCATGTGCTGAAAAGTAAAAAATTTTTATAAAATAAGTATAAAATATTTTTGCAAGAAATTAAATTCTTTATAAATAAAATTATTGAGATAGTAATAACAATATCTTTTTCTTTAAACATTAGCTTTATTAGTTGTTGTTGATGAAAAAGATGAGCATTTTTTAAATTTTATAAAAAGATATTTCTTAAAGAAGAAAAAAAATTGCATGCTGACACTAATATAAACTATATACTGACTGCTTCCCAGATCAACTAGAAATGCCCGATTGAGATGTTTGTGATAAACAAGAGTTGCATGAACTCGAGAGCAAGATGCATGATCAATGCAAAAATCATTCAGCTGTTGATTGCGTCCAAATAAATAACATTTTTTCTCATCCACCATAAGTTTCTGCAAATATATATTTATGTAATGTGTATCATTAATGTGTACACATTTGAGACATGACAGAACTCTAGAGAAATGACATATTATTGGAATTATACACAATTAATGCAATGTATTCTACCTGTATCAACTTATCATTCTTCAGTACATCCAGATGCAGTCCTACTGGTGGCTTTCCGGCCCTGGAAAGGGATACAACGTATATGTAACGTATATGTTGGGCATCTCTACCTTTTTGCACAACGACAAAAATCAGGACGCGCGATTGTGTAAACGCTTGATACAAATCCCTGACTAATTCGTCGAGAATTGATTGAACGGTAAACATACCAATTTGGAACCTCGTAGTGATTAGCCATTGTCGTTCACTTGTGCAACAATTTGTTTTCTCCGGTTTCCTCAACTATCCACAACTATCCGAATAGTAGAGCGACAGACACACTTATGAATTGTACACACACATATGCGCGCGCGCAGATAAAAACAGGGGGATTATACTAGACCTCCCCCTCTTTTTAGAAAAGGAGACGACGATTTTCAGCGCCGTCTGTTCCCGAAAGTGGTTCCTCTTGTAGAATCGTAGAATGTAGAATATGGTAGAATATCATCAGGGACTTCACAGAGTAAAATTGTATTGATTTGCACGTTTCTTTTTCTTTTTTTTTTTAAATCTAAATATATGTATCTATTTTCTTCATTTGATGGTATATCAGTAAATCATTCTTTTTCAGCTTTATATTTTTAAACTTTCCCACATTTTGCTTCTCTTCTGTCAAAAGGTTTTTAAATATTTGCTTTTATTTAAAAATGCAACAAGTATGTAAAAATAGAGTTAATTAATCAGTGTTAATTAATCTTTTTTTTCTCTCTATTTTTGTTATGAAACTTAAAAGAGAGAGAGAGAGAGCGAGAGATCCAATCCATATATTTGTTAATCTGTTCAAGCAGAAGTGCAACAGTGCAACAGTTGTCGGTGAGATATCAATGACAGTGCAATAGAAATGATACACATCTTAACTTCCTAAAAGAGCTCGTATGTAGCAGCTCGTTGATACTCGGTACGATTATATTATTTCCAAATATTCGTCCGCGCGATTGTGTAAGGAAACGGAGCCTAGAAAAAAACTCGTGCGCGAAGGTTAGTACACAGCTGATGTGTCCGTCTGGGACAAGTTGCGGTTGATGAGTTTGCGAAGATGTCATTCAAAATCGGTCAACGTGTTGAGGTACCCGTGAAGGAATGTCAAGGCGTGATAGCCTACGTCGGCCACCCGGCCTTTGCGTCAGGCAAATGGATCGGCGTGATACTCGACGAGCCGAAAGGGAAAAACAACGGCACTGTCAAGGGCCAGATGTACTTCAAGGTGAATTACGATTGCCAGCCAATATATAACTTCCAATGTATTATCAATGATGAATATTTATTCATCCAACAAAAGAATTGATCTCTCCTGTTTTTTATTTAGATAAGTCTAAATATATATATTGTGTATGATGTACATAAAGTCATGTTGATAAGTCCAACTGAATTTCTCCTATACAAACAATACAATATAATAAACAAAAAAAATATTAATTTTTCTATTTAAAACAGCTTAGTTTGCTTGCTAATGAAGAATAAAATATATCTTAATTGTTTATTTCTATTGCCGCAGTGTACAGAAAATCATGGCATGTTTGCGCGCCAAACCCAACTTATTCTGCTGGATGAGGCTGGTAATAGGACGGAGCCTATCAGTCCATCATCGGCAGGTAGCAGTGCCACAACACCAGATGACGGTGCTGCTAGAGCGAGGAGTCGCCTAAATAGGTGAGCATTCCTAGATACAATTGCATTAAAAAGTTCTAAATTATAAGTACATAACTTAAATAAACACATTTAAAAAATAAATCTTTAGAAAAAATATGCGTATTATAATTTTTCTGTAACAAATGTAATGATGAACACTAAATATTGCTAGTCGTATGTATGCTAGCCCTATAATTTAATATAAATGCCATAAGAGAGAGTACTATAATATATTAGCACATTTGTGGAGTAAAATATCTAAAATTAGCTATTGATTAAGTGATACTTAATTTATTTGCATTAAGAATAGTGATATCATTGTTAAGCTAACTGAACGAAATTTACGGAATCGTTATTCCATAATTTTCATGCTAGCATTAGTATGCGTCGAAGGAATGAGCCTACAGCGTAAGTTTTACATTATATAATAATGTTGAGGGTTAAAAGGAGCAATTATTTTCTTCCTCCGCACATTTAAAAATTTCTAATATTTTTTATATAAATTAACAAATAGGCGAGTATATAATTAATAAATTTTTAAAATGTATATGCTGCTCATAAAAGTGTGCGGAGAAAAACATCTCCTGCGAATATTACTCGTCAGCAATCTGACAAGTTTTCTGGGTAAGATCATTGTTAATCAAAATTTTAGCAAATGTCAGCAGTGTATATTTTTTATCGCTATTGTGCTTATATGGATATTTTGAAAATCGCAATTGTTTTTTATAATGATATACTTCAAAATGTCAACTACATTCTATCATTGAGCATCTAAGATATTTTGCAGCTTTAGAG